TGCGCCTCGCCTGTTTTCGGAACTCGCTCACAGTCCATTGTCACAGCAGCTGCAAGGGTGCTGCTGCTGCGTGTTTCGCGGGCGGGCAACTGTTGCTGCTGCTGCTCCAACTGCTGCTGCTGCTGTTGCTGTGACAACACAGTCTGCTCAACGCTGATCTTGCGCTTCTTGCGCCTAACTGTGGGAAAGCCTGTGCGATTGATTTTCTTGCGCTTGCGCTTGAGCAACAAATTGCCGCCGGTTTTGTGCAGCAGCGTTTCCAGCACGCGCTGGCACTGCTCCTTCTTGTTGGCATCCTCCTTGATGTCTAGTGCGGCCAGCAGGGGTGATTCAACCTCCGATTTTGTGATGACCGACTCATTGAGCTTGGCTATGGGTATTTGTATTTCCAGCTCCACGGAAGGCTCAAAAATGCCTGGCGGCGGACAGCTGCTGCTGCCTGCTGGCGACTGCAGCTGCTGGGGCAGCTCTCGAGCAACTGCACCCGCACTGGCCACAAGCAAGTTCTTTGCTTTGGCGCCCTGACGCCGCTGCTGCTTCAGGGAACACAGCGAACTGGGGCTTATGTCCAGCAGCTTGCCACCGCTTATGGAATTATTGTCAACGACAATGCGTAACGGCGAAGCGCTGCCAGCTGAAGCGGCTGCGCCTCCGGCGACTTCTTGACTGACCAGCAAATGCCGCTTTTTGGGCGTTAGCTTCTTGGCATTGAACTGCGCCTGGGCTTTGGTATTGGCGCTGCTCTTGGCCGCCGCTGCAGCAGCTGCCCAAGCTTCGGCATTCAGTTTCCCGTTGCTGGCAAAAGCCGATGCCACCTCGGCGCCGGTTGTGACCAAATAATGACGCTTCTTCAGCGGTAGCTTGTGGTCGTCGGGACTAGAGCTGTTGCTGCCGCCGCTGTTGCTGCTCGATTTCTTGTGGCGCCGCTTGGCGCCGTTGCTGCTGCTGTTGTTGTTGCAGATGCCATTGCTATTGCCAGCGCTGGCCGAGAGCATGGCAAAGTCAATCAGGGGCTCGTTAAGTTTGCGCTTCTTGAGTGCCCGCTTGAGCGGCTTTGTTGTTGCAGCTGCAGCCGTGGTGTTTAGCAGCGGCAACGTGGCCGCAATGGGCGCTGTGAGCGTGGCCTGCAGTTTGTTGGCCTCGGCGAGCAGCTTCTCCTTGCCGCTGCTCGCCGTTAGGCGATCATCCTGGATGCGACAACGCGCATGAAATGTACTTGCGATTATGTCAATCTCGGTTAGCAGCTTGGAGTCAATGTTCAGCGACTTCGCATGACTGAAACTCTTGCGACGATGCCGTCGACGCACTCGTGAGGCACCGGACACATAACTGCTGCACATGCTCGCGGCGGACGAGCGTCGACTCTTGATTTTGCACGCACTCTTGCCGGGCAGCATTGTGTCCTGACTAATTGAGTGCTTGCGCTGCAGCAACATTTTACCTAGAACAGAACATTATATAATTAGTAAAATTAAGATACAAGTTAAATGTATATATAAGAATTTGTCCTAACCGAACTGTGAGCTTGTGAGTCAAAAGCAAGCATCACAGGCGGGGTTCTGCAAAAAGAGTCGAGCTAACAAGCGGCAAGTCGACGGTTCAAACTCTACAACAATACGCACCTTGTATAAAATTATCTGCTGCTGTTGTCGAGTTTGTTGTTGTTGTGTTGGCTCCTGCAGCAACACTTGTAGTTGCCGGCTTTGCAGCTCCGCTGAAATATTGGCCAGTTGCCACGAATCGATTGATTTCACCATATTTTTTGCTGGCACTGGTGCTGGGCAAACACTTTAGGCTGGGCTTACTGATATACTCGTTGCTCTCCTCGCTGCTCTGGCCAAGTGAGAGTCCGGCCAGCTGCAATATATCCTGATCATGCTCATCGCTCAGCGCCTGCGTTGCCTGCTCGTGGCCGCTTCTCAGCATGGAGGCTCGTCTGCGTCGACGCAGTGATTTGCTGGATTTGCCGGAGGATTCCTTGCAGTCGCTGCGATAGCCACAACTTTTGGCGCGACTCATGCGACGACTGGCACAGCTGCGGCTGCTATAGCGACTCTTGCAGCTGGCATCAGATTTGTAGCCCGAATTGTGATTGTGCCGCTGATGCCGCACGCTGCCATAGTCCGAGACGTAGCCGCTTTTGGCTGCAAGAATCTTGCTGCAAATAGTATTTGAAGTGCCGCCGCCGCCGCCGCCATCGCTTTTGTAGCCACTGACAGTGCGCAAACGAAACTTTTTGTTGACATCTATCTTGCGCCAGAGTGGATCCACTTGCAGCTCCTCTTTGTTTGCCTTCTTGTTGCCCTGTCTGCGCTTGCTGCGCGGCGGTGGATACAACACACGCTCCGCCGTTGCGTACATGCGTTTATCTAGATAGGCCATGTCTATTTTGGGCTTGGCATTATCACTGATCAGCAACTGCTGCATTTTGGGCGAAGGCGTTGTGCTAATCACACCCGAATCTGCCGACTCGTTTATGGTTGGCACGGCAACAGGAAAAGCAGCAGGTGCATTATTGACAACAGTTGGTTGCAACTTTTTTGGGCGACCGCGTCGCTTGCGTTGCAGTGGCTGCGACAGTGTGTTGTTGTTGTTGCTGCTGCTGTTATTATTAACTGCTACTGCTGCTGCCGCTGCTGCACTTGGCTGCGTCGTTGCTTTGGGTAAGCTGGTGGCGTGGCCTGGCTGATTCAACCTTTGCGTTTTTTCCATAAAGTCCTTTAGGAGCGTAGATTGATATTGCGGCAGCTGTTGCTTAATTTTCGCAGCAGCAACACCAGCTGCCACGCTGGCGTTATCTTCAGCATCGCTTTCTACGCGCTTGATCGCTGCTTTGACCAGATCCGCTGCTCTCACTAGCTCCTCGTTGTCGCTGCTAGAGATGCCCATGTGGTTTTCGCCCTGGCCCTGGCTACCGCCAATAGCTGTTAGCAGCAACCGTGGCGCCCGTTGCATATGCACCTTCAAGGGCAAATCATCCTCAGAATCTGAACTAAAAGCTGCTGCAGGCTTGCGATTAGTTTTGCTATTGTTATTGTTGTAATTGCTGCTGCTGCTGCTCTTTTGCGCAATTTTCTTGCGCTTGACTTTAATCTTTTTGGTTGTGTTTACCGTGGACAACATTTGATCCCTCTCCTTCTCTTTTTCTCTATGCTTCTCCTTGACCTCCGCTGAGAAGCCGCTCAACTCCCGAGCCTCGCTCATCTTTCGCACCTTTGCTAGCTTTTTTCGTGAGCTGTTTTCAACTGTTGTTAACGCAGTTTTTGTTGTTTCTTTTGTAGCTGTTGAATTTGTTAAACTTGTTGCTGTTGTTGAGGGCGGGTTCCTTATAGCCGATATTTTCATGCGCAGTCCATCAGTATCCGAACGTTGCACGCTAAATTGTGTTGCTGATTTCGTAGACTTCGATTGACTCGACTGATCCGTAATAGAGTCAGTTTCCTGAAAAAGTAAACATATGTTAATTGTATGTAACTAACTGAAGTCAATGCAGAGTTAATTGAACCAGCAATTAATGGCGCCTGAAGGGTTTTGAAAGGTTTAAATGTTGCCATAAAAAACTCATTTTTCGAAGGATTTCGAAGGACATATAGAGCTTGATTTGCTCATATATGTGAAGCATGATAGCATTTAGTTTTCGATCGATATATGTGGCAGCTATATACATATGATATACACATTTCAGATTACACTTTTCATGACAAAATTATAATGCTCTCTACATAGATATACAAAAAGTATAAATGTTCATCTTTTGTTGGTGTTTAAAACGTTAGCCACGTTACGTGTGTTAATTGATTATAAATGCTTTCTGGAAATACCCAAATATAGGGCTGGTGATTTTCTAGAAGTAGCGCGGCAAAAGGACTTGAGCATATCATATGGTATACATATTTGTGTATGTATGTGTGTCGTAAAAATTAATGTTCATTTTATGTGGTTATTTAATGCGTCACACCTGAGTTATAAATATATTTTTATGGTTTAGCAAGATTTACCTCATTTTCACTGCCGGATTCTTGTGTACGTTGCTGCGCTTCGAGAACCTTTTCCTTTTTTGCTGCTGGTGATGCCTCATTTTGGCCACTGCTCATATTTCGACTCGAGGGCGGAGCTGTGCGAGGAAGTTGGCAAAATTATATTAACCTGGTCACATTAATTACAGCACGTTCAGAATTTTTGACAATTTAACTAGGTCAAACCACAAAACGCCACAGACAGCAACGGCTGTGGGGGCGGGGGCTGTAGGGAGCACCACTCACTAACACACACACACACACACACATGCACACTTACGTTTTGTAATATATTTTTGTAGCGTCAATTGATTATGCACACCGATAATAAAATTGTTATTTGAGCATATGCATATGCTTTTTGCGCCTTTAATTGCATTGCATTCAAGTTTTACTTTCTGCTTTTGCGTGTGGCTTTGTTTTGCTTCTTAAAATGGCGCCGTTTTCACCCTGCAGTCTCGCGTTGAATTTTCACTGCTGCTGCTTTGTTCGAAAGGCGCGACGCGACATGCTTCAATGCACTTCAATTTAATTGCTAAACTTATTTTACACTTGCACAGGTTTTAAATGGTTTATGGCATAACGTTTGCAATGTTTTGCATACTATAATCTATAATTTCAATAATAAAACAAAAAAGCCACAAGGTATGAACATAAATAAAGAAAAGAAACTACGAATTAGGGATGGCAAAACAAAGCGATGTTTTGCCCGCATCGATTAATCAGCATATCGAGTATTCGATTGAGAATCAGCAGGGCAATTTCCTCTTACCAACACTGTTCGCAGTTGTACCATAACCTAATGAAGGCAGAAAGCTAATAACTATCTATTAATTATCATTTTACATCATAACTAACATCTTTACATTTCAAATTTAAAATTTGTACATTTCAATCGCTGTCGATCTAAAACCAAATCAAACAGTTTTTAGTTCGATAACTCAGAATGTGTCATCAGGGCAATCGGCTACGCTATTCTCCCACCTCTACCCGTAGCAGAGGAAGATAAATACTGTTGCTGGGTGAAAAATCTTTGTTTATTTGTTAAAATGAGCAATAAATCGTCCAAAACTAGCAGCGCAGCTAGCAGCATGCTGTATGGTTCCAGCATGTCAGCAGAATCAATGAAAGTAATAGCCGAAAGCATCGGAGTGGGCTCTCTATCCGACGACGCCGCCAAAGAGCTGGCAGAAGATGTTTCCATTAAGCTGAAGCGCATTGTACAGGATGCCGCCAAATTCATGCACCATGCCAAGCGCCAGAAGCTGTCGGTCAAAGACATAGATATGTCGCTTAAAGTGCGCAATATTGAGCCGCAGTATGGATTTGTTGCCAAGGACTTTATACCCTTTCGCTTCGCCTCCGGCGGCGGTCGCGAGTTGCATTTCACTGAGGACAAGGAGATCGATTTAAGTGAGATAACCGCAAACAGCTCGGTTAAAATACCACTTGACCTAACGCTGCGCTCACATTGGTTTGTTGTGGAGGGCATACAACCCACTGTGCCGGAAAATCCGCCACCCCTCTCCAAAGACTCACAGTTCCTGGACTCTGTGAATCCTGTTATTAAACTGGACCAAGGACTCAATAAAGATGCCGCCGGAAAACCCACCACTGGCAAAATACACAAACTTAAGAACGTGGAAACAATACACGTCAAGCAGCTGGCAACGCACGAGTTATCTGTGGAACAGCAGCTGTACTACAAAGAGATCACGGAGGCCTGCGTCGGGTCGGATGAGCCGAGGCGTGCAGAAGCGCTCCAATCGCTTGGTTCTGATCCCGGGCTACACGAAATGCTACCTCGCATGTGCACATTCATTGCTGAGGGCGTCAAAGTTAATGTCGTCCAAAATAATTTGGCGTTGCTAATTTATTTGATGCGCATGGTGCGCGCCCTTCTGGACAATCCATCGCTTTTCCTGGAGAAATATGTAAGTTAACGCAGCAGCAACTTTATAGAGATCACAATTAACTTTTCAGTGTTTTAGCTACATGAACTAATACCCTCTGTGATGACCTGCATTGTATCCAAACAGCTGTGTATGCGCCCTGAGTTGGACAATCATTGGGCATTGCGTGACTTTGCCTCCCGCCTTATGGCGCAAATTTGCAAAACATTCAACACGCTTACAAATAACCTGCAAACGCGTGTTACGCGGTAAGTTCAAAAAAGATTCCATCCAATGAAATATCATCTTTAATAATCGTAAACTTTACAGGATCTTTAGCAAGGCTCTGCAAAATGATAAAACCCATTTATCATCGCTCTACGGTTCCATTGCGGGCCTCTCGGAGCTGGGCGGTGAGGTTATTAAAGTGTTTATTATACCACGCCTCAAGTTCATCTCGGAACGCATCGAGCCACATTTGCTGGGCACCTCGATGAGCAATACAGATAAAACGGCCGCTGGCCATATACGTGCCATGCTCCAAAAATGCTGCCCGCCTATACTGAAGCAAATGCGCGCAGCCCCCGACATTGCCGAAGAATATAAAATAGATTTTGGTTTTTTGGGACCTTCCTTGTGCCAGGCTGTGGTCAAGGTGCGCAATGCACCAGCCAATAGCACCGTCACGTTATCCTCAAGCAGCATCAACACGGCGCCCATAACAAGTGCCGCCCAAACTGCCACAACCATTGGACGCGTGTCCATGCCCAACTCACAAAGACAGAGGTAAGATATTCACTTATATATAAGCTATTATTTGTATAGCTCCTGGTCTAACTGATCTTATGTTGAGTAAGAAATTAGAATCTAGTCTAGAATCTGGATATAAATGATACCCTGTATTACATGAATATATATCCACTATCTGCTATTTCCCGGCTTTGGCCGACTTAAGTTTTTCGCACCATATTTTTAGAAATTCATTTTCCATCTATTTAACGCTCTACGGGATAGTTAAATCTACCTGTACTATTTCGCGAAATGTGTGAAACACTTTTTCATTAACTTTCAAGAAGAGCTTAAGGGATAGAAAACAAAAAAGTTTGATACAACCGTTTTCCGCGATTTTTTCACACTTCCGCGTGGAATTTTCCTAAACCCCGCCCTAGCGTGAAGCTTTATCTAGCTCATACGGGTTGAGCTGTGCATTGATCACCAATCAGACAGTCAGAACAATATGGGAATAAAGTGATTTGACGATCTATAGAGTAATTTGTAGTTTGTGTAAGGTAGAGTCAGCTATTTATGAAGGTTCTTGTTTGAAATAATTGAAATATTAATAAGCTTTTCTCTTATTTTTTAGCAGCCCTGTTGTTGCCGCCCTGCCACAAATACGCGCCATACAGGCGAATCAACCGGCACAAAAGTTTGTGATTGTTACACAGAATTCACCACAGCAGTCACAGGCGAAGGTGGTGCGCCGTGGCAGCTCACCGCACAGTGTGGTGATGTCATCGTCTTCGGCGAATGGCGCCAATGCCTCAAATTCAAATTCATCCTCAGCGGGCAGTGCTGGCGGTGCTAATAGTTTGCTAACAGCGCGCAGCAATGATAATGTGTGTAGCAGTCCTGGGTACCTGCCAAATCCCTAAAAACACCCCCACTCTAATATGCTGTTTATACGCATTTCAGAGCATTGTGGATGCCAATTCGTTGATCATTGAAACGGAAATAGTGCGCGCACCGCCCGAACTGGATGATTTATCGCATCTGGAATAGCCTTATTCTCACCTCTCGCCCCCTTTATTAGTCATTTAAGTGCAAAACCCTAGTTTATACAACATATGTAATAAACGGCATTAACAAAAAGCTACCCCCATGCAAATATTTACAATTGTGCACTCCGTAACACGCATCCAACACGCATGTGCGGGAGCCCCAGAAGTGGCCATATATTGATTTTTAACCAAAACGCACAGCACAAAGCAAACTCCTTGTACATACCGAATCAGTGTGTATGTGTGTGTGTGTGTTTTAGACAAGGGCAAAGCTCAAGAGTGGCAGGAAATTTTTAAAATATTTTCCAAGTATTCAATTAAATACATAAAAAATGCACGCAAGATTTGCGGAACCCGAGCCCGCCTCACCAGACAGTGTGAACAAAATCGAAACGGAATCGCTGGAGGCGCGCATCGAGCAATTTAAACAGAATCCCAACAACATGGCCATCCTGCACGAGTTCATCGATGAGGTGGCCCAACGCGCTGAAACGGAGGCCAATAAACGTGCGCTCGAGGCGCACAAATTGCAACAGGTTGGCTAAACATTTATTTTCCGTTAAATCGAACGTTTAATGCATTGCAAACACGCACTTTCTTCTTCCACAGGGCAAGGAGAAGCGACAGAGTAAGTAGAATGCCCAATATTCTGAAAATGTTACCTCTTTTATTGCTATGGAAACTTAAAGTGTGCACGATCAAAGTCCGCCATGCACTTGCTTATGTAGAAGACCTTCGCGCATGTGTCCTTGTGGGCATTCTCTGCAATCAAATTAAATATTTGTATATTGATGTGGGGTTCAGCTAAAGATTTAGTGGAAATCAGCAGTTCAAATTTTGGTTCTCTACGATCCCAACCAGATATTAAAAAGTTAATAGGTAAAAAACATGCTTAAAATCTTTTACACTCTGAAAAATCCAGTACAAATTTAAGAATGATATTTTAGGTAACCTACTAACATGAACTTTTGTACAACCTTGTATGAGAGCAGATCTCTCAGACCCATATTATAGCCATTTTAAAGCTATATCTAGCTGGTTTTCTATCCGTTTCAATGCATTCCAATTTATGTTATAAGGCTAATTGTGAAAATTTTAAGATAAAGGTTTAAAATTTGTAATTCCTTCGTATTTTCAAAAACGAACTGACCAATTATCAATGCGAGATTCATCTGACACACGTCGAACTAATATATTGTTATAGATTTAACGGATACGATCTGATGGGAAGACAATTGTTTCTTTTATTTGGCTAGGTTCTTTTTTGTTAGGATTTTGTTTGAGGATTCTAAATAAAATTCCAAAATTTATTGCGCCTAGTTCAGACGGTGGGAAAAAACGAACTATTATTTTTCTAACTATATTTCGCATAATTTTGATTTTAATTAGATGCACAGAAAAGTATTTTGCAATCGTATTTTTATAACATAATTATTTAAAAATGATATAGCTTTTTTAGTTAATTGAATTATTGAAGATTTCGGATTATGATTATAACAGTTGATAATTAAAAATTGGATTTATTTAATTAGCTACTCTAGAGGTTTTAAATTTAAACTCTTTGTTTTTAAATCTTTAATATAATTTGTTTGCCAGATAATCATTTGTTAGCATCAGAGAAAAGTCTCTTTATCAACAACTCCTATTTTAAATAAGGTAACCGCACTGTGAAACATTTGAACCGTTGACATCTACTTTCGGAATTTATGGTGCAATTTAGTGAGTTTCTACTGTACTTACGTGCTTCCTTGCAATGGGTGAGAGCATTTTTTGCTGGCGTCTGCAGCTCAGGTGGCAGAATGATGGGTACCTGAGCAAAGGCCTTGGACACACTAAATTCACCCTTTTTGGTCAAAACTCCCGCCAGCTGTGCCACGCATTTCGTATAGCACTAAAAAAAAAAACAAATTGTATACCAGCTGCTAGACTCTATGGCCTGGTTGACCGACTCACCAGCAAATCTTGATTGGGCTCCATGTCAAAATCGCCATCGCGTATGCGATTCAGTATCTCTATTGGCACCTTAAATTTTACCATGCATCCGTTGCGCATCATGTCCAGAGATTGTATAAACTGCTGCATATTCACACCTCCGCAGAGTTCTGGCCACAGAAGCAGCAGGCCGAGCAGCAGCTGCCAGGATCTGTACCGGCGGCAATTGGGCGAGTGAACGAGCAGCGGCAATGGATCCTTGTATTTGTTAAGCCTCATGATGACACGCAATTGCGTTAAATATGTGTTGCACGGCCCGTTTTATAAGCTTGCTTTGGGGCAGGGGCGTGGCAAGTCAGAGTGACAGGTCAACAATTAAAAGTGACATTAATGAAAATTGTTATTTACTCTGTGATAGCTTCATTCTGAGTTTGCTTTTATTTCCTCAATCGCATGTGAATATGTTTTTGTTGCACTTTTCTCGTCAATCGCTCACCGAACCCTTTTATTTTATATTTTCATATGACTGCCTTGGCACTAATCTTGTTAGGTTTCGCCATACCAGATTTTAAGAACGGCAAAGTGGTTAACCGTGCCCGCGGCTTTGTGGTGCGCATCTTCGATGCCATCTGCAATTGTGCCAACAACAATGCGGCCGCTGCCACGACACGCTTCAAGCTACGCAGCAATGGTGCCAGCAGCGGAGCAGCTGGTGGCAAGCGTCAACAATCGCAGGATGAGCCCGAGACACTGGTGCTCAGCAAGAAGAAGCCATCGGCGGATGGCAAAAAGAAGTCCAAGGGCGTAACCATGGCCGACGATGTGGAGGCGGGCGTTCGACTGGTGGACTAAGCTCCAACAATCAAAAGCAAAGTAGTCCATGTTGAGTTCACGGAACATAATCAAAACAAGAAGATCAAAATGGAAGTCCACATCATTAATACAATGCTTAAATGAACAATATAGTTCTAGGCATTATAAGCATATGATTGAAAATTGAGCAATTACTGTTAAAAATACGAATAATCTAACACTCGACAACAATTTCAGTGCTGCCAAGATTAATTCCTTGTTTGATAGCTATTCAATTTACATACAACCCTCAACCTGCTGCAGTGCACTAGAACTAAATAGAACTAATCTCCCAATAATTTGATCAAATATTCATTTTCGTTGAACTACCTTCACTGCAGCAGTTGAAACTATTAATAAGACTAGCATTTTATAAAATATGTATTTGCTTTGCTCAACATGGAAAATGCACAATTTAAGTCTTCCCCTCCATTCGCAAGCTCCCTTCTAGGGCACCGAAACTGTATCCAATTCCAATCAAAAACTATAATTGTACATCTATAAACACATTACTTTATGCTTTGTTAACCTAAATGTGATCCAAAAAAAAGCAACATAAATATTAATTCGACTGCAAAAAGCACAAGCAACTTCTAGATTAAAAATTAAAAAAAAAAATAACAAAAAATTATTGAAAACAAAATTAACTTATCAAAAGTATAAAAGAAAGATCTCATCTAAAACACTTCCTCTATCAAAAGTTCACGTACAGCACAATCAATGAAAGCATTATATGATAAACAGAGCCGAATAATAATGTCAGATCTTTCCCATTCCACCTAAACTATAACTATACAATTTACACGCGTTTATATTTGTATTGAAACCCGATTATATAGATGTGTATATGAACCTATTTAGCTGTGTGTGTAGTAGTGAATGTTCTCAAAAACCAAGAGTCTAATATTATATATATATACAAGCAAATAAATGTGTACTGATTTTATATACATATATAAACTTATAAACTTAGATTAATTTAGTTATTTACACCGCAATACCGTACGACTTTCTATACGTCGCAGAGGTTTCCGCACAACACACTCTATCTATATTTTTGTGAAACCCTTTTTGGAGACTACGTAAAAAATAATCTATACCAAAAACCAAAAAAAAAAAAAAAAGATATAAGCAAAAAAGCGATTTTTATATGTAACACTAAACGCCTGTAGAAATTCTTTTTGATGTCCCAATAAAGAAAAAGGATACGTTAATTTGTTAGCTTAAGTTTATGTGTGTTGCTTAAATATATGTGTAATATATAATATTGTGCACTAAATACTGTTGTATTACACGATTTTTTGGTCGAAATTCATGTCCAAATCTTGCCCCAAGATTCGTCTCTAGACATGGTTCAAAACTTACGACCCCCATAACTCGGCCAAATCTCATCTGATTTTTACGAGGTTGGGCTTTTTGTTCATGATTTTCCTTCTAGATTAATCTGGCATGAAAATCTGAACACCGATTTTTTGGTCGAAATTCATGTCAAAATCTTGCCCCAAGATTCGTCTCTAGACATTGTTCTAAACTTCTCAGCCCCATAACTCGGCCAAATCTCATCCGATTTTTACGAGGTTGGGCTTTTTGTTCATGGGTTTCATTCTAGATTAATCTGGCATTAAAATCTGAACTCCGATTTTTTGGTCGAAATTCATGTCAAAATCTTGCCCCAAGATTCGTCTCTAGACATTGTTCTAAACTTCTCAGCCCCATAACTCGGCCAAATCTCATCCGATTTTTACGAGGTTGGGCTTTTTGTTCATGGGTTTCATTCTAGATTAATCTGGCACTAAAATCTGAACTCCGATTTTTTGGTCGAAATTCATGTCAAAATCTTGCCCCAAGATTCGTCTCTAGACATGGTTCAAAACTTACGACCCCCATAACTCGGCCAAATCTCATCTGATTTTTACGAGGTTGGGCTTTTTGTTCATGATTTTCCTTCTAGATTAATCTGGCATGAAAATCTGAACACCGATTTTTTGGTCGAAATTCATGTCAAAATCTTGCCCCAAGATTCGTCTCTAGACATTGTTCTAAACTTCTCAGCCCCATAACTCGGCCAAATCTCATCCGATTTTTACGAGGTTGGGCTTTTTGTTCATGGGTTTCATTCTAGATTAATCTGGCATTAAAATCTGAACTCCGATTTTTTGGTCGAAATTCATGTCAAAATCTTGCCCCAAGATTCGTCTCTAGACATTGTTCTAAACTTCTCAGCCCCATAACTCGGCCAAATCTCATCCGATTTTTACGAGGTTGGGCTTTTTGTTCATGGGTTTCATTCTAGATTAATCTGGCACTAAAATCTGAACTCCGATTTTTTGGTCGAAATTCATGTCAAAATCTTGCCCCAAGATTCGTCTCTAGACATGGTTCAAAACTTACGACCCCCATAACTCGGCCAAATCTCATCTGATTTTTACGAGGTTGGGCTTTTTGTTCATGATTTTCCTTCTAGATTAATCTGTCATTAAAATCTGAACACCGATTTTTTGGTCGAAGTTCATGTCAAAATCTTGCCCCAAGATTAGTCTCTAGACATGGTTCTAAACTTCTCAGTCCCATAACTCGGCCAAATCTCATCCGATTTTTACGAGGTTGGTCTTTTTGTTCATGGTTTTCCTTCTAGATTAATCTGGCATGAAAATCTGAACACCGATTTTTTGGTCGAAATTCATGTCAAAATCTTGCCCCAAGATTCGTCTCTAGACATGGTTCTAAACTTCTCAGCCCCATAACTCGGCCAAATCTCATCCGATTTTTACGAGGTTGGGATTTTTGTTCATGGGTTTCATTCTAGATTAATCTGGCATTAAAATCTGAACTCCGATTTTTTGGTCGAAATTCATGTCAAAATCTTGCCCCAAGATTCGTCTCTAGACATGGTTCTAAACTTCTCAGCCCCATAACTCGGCCAAATCTCATCCGATTTTTACGAGGTTGGGCTTTTTGTTCATGGTTTTCCTTCTAGATTAATCTGGCATTAAAATCTAAACACCGATTTTTTGGTCGAAATTCATGTCAAAATCTTGCCCCAAATTCGTCTCTAGACATGGGTCAAAACCTACCACCCCCATAACTCGGCCAAATCTCATCTGATTTTTACGAGGTTGGGCTTTTTGTTCATGATTTTCCTTCTAGATTAATCTGGCATGAAAATCTGAACACCGATTTTTTGGTCGAAATTCATGTCAAAATCTTGCCCCAAGATTCGTCTCTAGACATTGTTCTAAACTTCTCAGCCCCATAACTCGGCCAAATCTCATCCGATTTTTACGAGGTTGGGCTTTTTGTTCATGGTTTTCCTTCTAGATTAATCTGGCATGAAAAGCTGAACACCGATTTTTTGGTCGAAATTCATGTCAAAATCTTGCCCCAAGATTCGTCTCTAGACATGGTTCTAAACTTCTCAGCCCCATAACTCGGCCAAATCTCATCCGATTTTTACGAGGTTGGGATTTTTGTTCATGGTTTTCCGTCTAGATTAATGTGTAATATATAATATTGTGCACTAAATACTGTTGTATTTAGTTAACAACAAAATATCAGCAATAAATTGTGACAATGTTTCAATATGCTATTTCACTGATATAATTGGGATAGATTTATATTGTATTGTCGCTCTGATCTACATTTTTTGATATATTTTCTGATGCTTATCGAAGCACTCAATAATTTATAGCCTTAAGTTGTGCTTAGTTAATAAACTAACGTATTAATGAATAATTTTCTTGCTTTGTTCGGTCGTCTTCTTTCTCACGACATTTTCTTCTCTCATTCCGGTTTATGTGATTTATCTATTATTTGATGTATAACTGACACTGGGCTTTGATATAAGGCAATTAAATGTAGAATTAGCCAGCTATTTATATACTCTTTGGTAATTGTTAAATCGACTTCTATGGAAACCCAAACCCGACGAACCGCATCATTAACAATGCACAACACGTTCACTGAGTTTATGGGCAACAATGTCAGGTGAAGTAAATGTTGCCCAAACATTAGCTTGGGATATGGATTATCTTCAAATATGGGTAGGTCGTCAACATGCAATGGAAACTGGGTCTTACTCCAAAGCTCATAAGCATTAAAAGGGACCGGCATATAAGAGCTGCTCTCTGATAAGCCCAACTATATACCATAAATACAATAATCAAATATATGTATTAATATAAAGAGGCAGTCAGTGTCGGAGTCTTGTTTAAACGCTCTCGAGAGCTTGAGCTCTCGGTATTAAAGTATCTCGTCGGGCTCTTCTCTGCTTACTTTAAAGACGTGACTTGAAAACATCATACAAAAAATTCATTTTATAAGGATAAATCAAAAGTGTCAACGCCTCAAACAAGTTCATAAGCAAGGTGAGCCATTGCAATCCAAGCTCGGCTTGGAGAGGACAGAGAGAAATATACGAGAGAGGCAGCGAAAATCTGAGACACTACGTTCAGCTCCATCAGCTTCTCTAGAGTCGTACGAAAACACAATTACGCTTGCTGGCAACGGAAGCGGCACGCGATAAAAATTTCAATTTCATTTGCGAGAAAAATATATACTTTTTTCGCATTCAGTTTTCAAGGCAACGATGAAGTGCTTACATCTAATATTCGCATTGCTGCTCAGCTTCAGATATGAGCTGTCGCTGGCCAAAAGCTACTCTACGGAGTACATTGGTGGGTTCAGTTGCTGGAGTAGTGAACAATTTCTTTATTGATTCCTGGTTGCTTTTGTGCCACAGATCTGCTGGATCTGGACGACAATGAAGAGTTCGTGTGGGGTGCCGCAGAGAATAGGCAATACAACCGGACTAATGCTAGTAATGATAATGACAATGCCGGCATATCCAATTTCTTAGCACGTCATCGTTTAAGCAAGCGACAGGCACCAGCTGAAAGTGCTTCCCCAATACTGGTATGTAATCAACTTTATAAGCCACAACTAAGAAAATCTTATGATCATATTGCCATAAAATTAAAATGATATAATAACTAGTTTAAGATCAGACAGGTTTTACCTCACGGTTCCAAGTTCCGAACTAGTTGGTTGAAACGTTAACTCTTTGGGCTCCATGACTTTAAACCAAAAGATTATATAACTTGAGCCTGTTTTCTAAAAAAAAAAGTTGTAATTAAAAATTAGGTATAAAGGGAAAACTGTACAATAACCTGGGTGCATGAATGTGGGCAAACGAAAGGCTCCAACTACAGAGGCTTCCTTTTGGGTTCGCAGCCATAATTCCAAGCGAGTCTGTTAACACCTTAAACTTTGCAGGAAAACAAGGATTTTGGTGCCTGTCGCACGTCGCTAGGCGAAACCGGTCGCTGTCGGCACATAATTTACTGCCGCATGCCGGAGCTGAAGGATGATGTCTGGCGTTTGGTCTCCCAGTTGTGCGTTATTGAGAAAAGGTAACAGCTACACTATATAACTAAAGCTCACTTTAAACTTGATTCGTTTTTATAGTACTATTGGTATTTGCTGTACGGATCAGTCGACTGCGTCACGTTTTAGTCCACAGATTGCGAGCAGCTCCGCTGATGACGAACCGCGCATTATCAATCGTCCAGAGAGCAGGGGATGCGGCATTACCACACGGCAATTCCCTAGAATAAGTGGCGGACGTCCAGCGGAGTCCGATGAATGGCCCTGGATGGTGGCGTTGCTTCGCCAGGGCTATACCTACGTCTGGTGCGGCGGTGTGCTCATTACAGATCGTCATGTGTTAACGGCGGCCCATTGCCTGTACAAGTGTCCCAAGGAGGACATATTTGTACGACTGGGCGAGTACAATACGCATGTAAATATAGATGAAACTTTTTTCTGAAATGTTAACAAAAATTTTGTCCAATTCGAACAGCAATTGAATGAGACGCGCGCGCGCGACTTTCGCATTGGTAACATGGTGCTCCATATCGACTATAATCCAACAACATACGAAAACGATATTGCCATCATACGCATCGAGCGGCCGACACTGTTCAATACATACATATGGCCAATATGCATGCCGCCGCTAAACGAAGATTGGACAGGACGCAATGGCATTGTCATGGGCTGGGGTACACTCGATTTTAATGGTCCACACTCCAAGATACTCATGGAGGTAAGCCTGTCAACAGTCACGAGTCTGCCATTCAAAACAATATTTGTCTTTGCCGTTTTGTAGGCAAGTTTGCCGATATGGAAGCAATCGGATTGCCAAGCGGCCATTGTGGATCATATACCGGATACGGCCCTTTGCGCTGGACTGCCAGAGGGTGGCCTAGATAGCTGTCAGGGTGATAGCGGTGGTCCGTTGCTCGTGCAGTTGCCAAATCAGCGCTGGGTCACCATTGGTATTGTCTCCTGGGGCTTGCGCTGTGGCGAACCGAAGCATCCAGGCATCTACACGCGCGTTGATCGCTATCTGGAGTGGGTCATAGCCAATGCGGATATATAAGATGAGCATATATTAAAATTTACAATCAATTTACTTGGCATTAGCTTAACAAATGCTTTGCTCTAAATACATATACCTATGTAAATACTAAAAATTGGTTAACATTAGCCATATCTAAGTGGTATATGTGAACTCAGTGTGTGTCCCCTAGGCCCAACCCAAAGCTTAGCCTAAACTTAGTGGCTAAGACTATGTGCTGTGAGGTTTTGCAGTCGCTGTGGCTGCGCTTGGTATCTTCATACGCGCCGTCTCAGATGTACTGTCAGGTTCGCTTTGCAATGCCGTCAACTTTGCGTCTCCAAAGGCAATCCTATAGACATCCTCGTATTCGCTGGCAAAGTGCACTTCCAAGCCATCGGTTATGAAGCTGGGTAGCTCCTCAAAGTCCTTTTTATTGTCAGCTGGCAAAATAAGGCAGGTGACGCCGCTGCGACGAGCCTATAAAATAAATTATTGAAATTGATTTTGCCTAAAATTGGTTTCGAACGGACTTACCGCAATGGTCTTCTCCTTAATTCCGCCCACTGTCAAAACCTTGCCCTTTAAGGAGACCTCACCCGTCATTGCTACATCCGGACGCACTGGCTTCCCGGTGGCCAGCGAAATTAAGGCCGTGATTATGGTAACACCAGCGCTGGGTCCATCTTTTGGCGTAGATCCTTCAGGCACGTGCAGGTGAATGTGTCTGTCAAGTCCAATAGATGAGTTATTAGATGATGAGATGAGATATTAATTAAACAAATATAATGATTGTTAATGATTGTTACTTACTCCTGCTCCAGGAACTTGTTCTTTGAGTCATGCGTATACAAAAAGTTTCGCGCCACGGTCAAAGCAATTTGTGCAGATTCCTTCATCACATCGCCCAAATTACCAGTCAAATGTAAAACTCCGGCGTTAGTTTCAGGTTTCTCAGCTCGTATGTGACGCCTGGAGGTTTCAATGTATAAGGACGAACCACCCATTGCTGTCCAGGCCAAGCCCATTACAACACCAGCTGGGGTTACGTTGTACATGCGATCGGAACTGAAGACTTGCTTGCCCAAAAACGTTGTTAAATTATCGGCATTCACAGGAAACTCTTCGCCCTCCTTCTTGACCAGGCGGAAGGCAACCTTGCGTATGACTTTCTCGATCTGCTTCTGCAAATTACGCACACCAGATTCACGGCAATAGCTGCGTATCAGCATGTTAAGCGCATCTTCCGTAATGTTGATCTGCTTTTCCGTTAGACCACAGTCATTCATAGCCTGTGGTATCAGGTATTGTCGCGCAATTGCCACCTTCTCTTCAGCAACGTATCCGGACATTTCGATGAGTTCCATGCGATCGCGCAGAGGTTCGGGTATGGTATCTATCACATTCGCTGTGCAAATAAATAACACACGCGACAGATCCACGGGCACATCCAAATAATGGTCAAGAAAATTGGAATTTTGTTCGGGATCTAACAGCTCCAACAGGGCAGAGCTAGGATCACCCTGATAACCTCTGTGGTTTGAGTGAAAAATAAATGTATATTAGCCACATCTAATCGATTATATAAATCCTTTGTTTACTCACTTGCCAATCTTGTCAACCTCATCGATAAGCACCAATGGATTTTCCGTTTTGGTCTTTTTCAGGCACTGTATAAGTTTACCAGGCATGGCGCCCACATAGGTGCGACGATGACCCTTAATCTCTGCCACATCCGTCATGCCACCGACGCTGAAGCGGAAGTACTCGCGATTTAAGGCGCGTGCTATAGACTTTGCTATGCTCGTTTTGCCAACGCCTGGCGGCCCGTGGAAGCATAAAATTTTGCCTTGCGTAGTACCCTTGAGAGAGCTGACAGCAATGAACTCCAAGATACGTTTCTTAATGTCTTCCATGCCATAGTGATCGTTGTTTAAAATTTCGGTGGCTTTTTCAAGGCATAAATTCTCGGGACTAATGACGCCCCAAGGCAATGAGGTGAGCCAGTCCAAATAGTTTCGTGTAACACTAGAATGAAGACAGCAAATTAGTGAGCTATGTATTGATATGTAAAAGCTGGCGACTCACTTAAATTCCGAGCTGTGACTTTCCAAGAAATTTAACTTGGTCAGCTCTTCGTCAATAACAGTTTTGATGCTTTCCGGCACAGTTTTGTCTTTGAGTTTTTCGCGATATTTTTCGCCAATGGCATCCTTATCGTCTTTCTCAATACCCAGCTCCTTTTTAATGACCTTCAGCTGCTCCTGGAGTATGTATTTTCGGTGCTGCTGCTTAACCTTCTCTTCCACTTCGCGACCAATCTTTTGCTGCAGCCGTGATAGCTCCAATTCCTTTTTGAGCAACGCCAGTGCGAGCAGAAGACGTTGTGGTATCTATAGGAAACAAATTGGGATGGGCTTAGTGAAAGGCACAGAACATATATCAAATGCTTACATCTGTTTCTTCCAGAATTTTCTGCAGTTCGGCTGGTTCGCCAGCGGACAATGAGGCGCCCAAGTCACATAAGTATATAGGATTATCAACCACTCGCTGATTCTGATGCAGCATTTGCTGTAAGCTTTCTCTATAATAACAAAAATCGGCATTCCTATTAGGTAAATGAACTAGTAGTATGCTGATCATGCAAAATGCTTGAAAAGCAAAATTTATATAAGTTAGCTCGATTCAAGTCGTATTAAAAATACCAAAACTATTTACCATACAAAGTATTACATAATACGGCTAAAGAAATGTCTAGAAGCGGCATTCGATTTAGTGCGAAATGTTGAAATATGGCTATATTATAAAACTTCGCTGATCTGAAGATTGGCTCTTACCTGTATAAAGGATTCATGGTGATAATATCGCGCAAAGTCTTGATAATCTCCTGTGTCAGAGCTTTGACCTCTTCGGTTTGCTTGTACGCCGGCTGCTTAACATTCTCCACTTCCACAATGAGAACGGGCGGCGCAGTAGGCGGAGCGGCTGTAGACGTTTCCGTGCTCTTACCAGCACTATCAGCTGTTGGTGGTTTTGCAAGATCTTCCAGTGGCTTGGTCGGTTTAGGTGGTTCCGTTGATTCCACACGTCCACTGGGCAGCGGTGGCTCCAGCGTTTGGCGCTGCGCAAGCTCCCCAGCACTGGCTGCATCGTTTATTTTGTGTGCTTGTCGCCGTGGGGTGCGTCCGCGGGACTTGCGTGCACTTCGACTGGCTGATTTTGCTGTTGCATCAGCCGCACCAGTCGATTGATCTTCAGCTGGGATGCGTAATTTTATATTAAATAGTGGATAATGCAAAGTAGTCATTTTCACTGGGAGTTGAGAGACGACGCGATTGTCACAATATTTGGGTAGTGTTTATATCTGGCATTTACCTGGCTTAGTAGGTGGCTGCACATCATCCACAACTTGGCCGGTTATTTTAATGCGTCGATGCGCGACAACCACCATGCGCAGCTTATCGCCCAAATCTTGTAGCTCCTGGATTTGAGCAAATGTGCCCACAGAATAGACATCGTCCAGCTTGTGTATGATCTCCTCTTCTCCGTCGGATTTCTTAAGGAACACGCCTACATACGGCTGATTTAGCTTCACCTTGCGACGCAACAGATCCATTATTATTGGATTCGAGATCTATGCAAAAGAAACAAGCGCGTTAATAAATAATAATCGATTTCGAGTTCAATCAACCAACCTCGACGATCTTCATGAAACGCGGAAATAGAGGATTTCGTCGCATCGCCAACATCGGCACGTGCGGCCACACATCCGGAACGGCAACGGTCGCCGGCAGCTGTTGCGAGTCACGGTGATCAGCCAAAAGTTCGGGCTCGCCCATTAGGTCATCTTCGTTATCGCCCCGTTTTCGGCTAAAGAAGCGCTGTGGCTGCATCCCAGACACAGCTCCCTTGTATCGCAGCAATCGCACCTCGTTGAAGTATTCCACCATGCAATTTTGGGTATGACGATTGCGTGTGCAGGCAACTGCCGTGGATAAGCCGCGCAGCATTGAGCGAACACGTATGACACGTGTGAACATTTTGCAATTGATTCTGTGCACAAACGAATGCCAATTAATAAAAAAAAACAAGTGCCGGAGCAGCAAAGAATTAAAGTGTAAAATGATTATGTGATAGCGCTGATGAAATGACAGCACCGCGCGACAAATTAGCTGCAAAACAATCGATATTTGATATCGATATATATTTTAACATTTAGCTTGGTTAATAATCTGGTTCATGCGCTCCAAAACTAGAGGCTACTCTAGATTTAAATAAATTTAAATTACTTGTGTCATTTTCAGTTTTCGCACTTTCTTAACATAATGAATAATCAATAATTTATCATTGTTCGCTTTATTCGGCACCTACTCTTGCTCGGTAATTGTATTGGTTCGACATATGAGCCCGATTTTACACATCCTTTGGACTTCAGCCTTATTTCGAAATCTTTTTTTTAAATTTGAATGAAACAACTTAACTTTCTATTTAAATTTACCCGTTCTACTTAAAATATTTCATGCAGAAGATGAGGAGCTTTGGGTTAAATTTAATGTATACCCGAAATTGTCATCTACCAGATATGATAAGATAAGCCGTTGGATTGGGGCTCATGGTGGCTGGTTTCTTCGGAACATTTGTTATTGAACTTGGTTTAGTTCAAATTAACAACGTAGTAAATCTTTTCTTTGTTCTATTCATCGGTATTTTGTAATATTTACACATCACTACCACATATCGAACTGTCGACTTGTCGCTTGCAACACATCCTTAGCTAAATCGAAAGTAAATAGAAAAATACTTGCAACTTTGCGTGTTTTGTGGGCAATATGGTATCACGTTTCGATCAACAAAAGACCAAACACCAGCTCTTCCATGTGTCACTTAGCCTGGCCACAATACTGATATGCATGACCTACATGCAGTACCGTCGGAATTGGGCACATCTGGGCAGCTTTTGGGATTCACTGATTGTACCAATTGTGTTCATTGGCGAACTGCTCAAAGTAATACTAGCCCGCTTCTTTGGACGCATTGAGGATGGCGTGCTGACGGTCAAGCAGCGCCAGAAAAAGGCGTCATATTTCACGCCACGCGAATTGCTCGGTGGTCTAACGTTGCAATTTTTGTGCACCCTGCTCTACGCCTTCATCTGCATCATTCTGGGTGCACCAGTGTTGGCTAACTACGAGCAGACGTTTGTGCTGTCGCTGCTGATGACACTCTTAACGGTTTCCCCTACAGTTTTCCTACTCGGCGGCGGTGGCGCTTTACAGGTGTGTTTCTGTGAGAAGCCAGACTTTATAACCAAATGCGAGGATACGGCGTTGCATCTGTTCAAGTACAATGCGCTCGGCGGTATCCTGGGCGCTTGGGCTGGCAGCGTAGTGGCCCCGCTGGACTGGGGACGTGACTGGCAGGCTTATCCCATACCAAATGTGATTGGCGCCCTGCTGGGCAGCGCTCTGGGCAATATTTATGCTTGCACGCATGTCTTGTATGCGTGCGGCCGCGTTTACATGAGCAAGAAACGTGCTTGAATCCAATAATGTAATCAATATATCCTGCCACCAAGAAATTTACGTTGCGCTGCCATCACATCCACATCTATTGAAGCAAACCGCATCGTTGTCTAGTCAACAGCTTATGATTTACATACATATACCAAAAAAGCAATTAACAATACTTTAATGTTACATGAGTAAGCAATCTATTAGCATGTACAATTAATTCATTTTTAAATCAATCAACTAATAAACTAACAATTAACACATCTTCGTCTATAGACATTTTCTTATGTGTCCTGATTCCAACAATAACTTTATAAATAATTGAACAAGTGTAAAAGACAAGGAGAAGGGACTAAGTCGATCGACTCCGGGATCTCCGAGACTTAAGTTCAGTTCTCGTATACCATTGCAAAATTAAATTAGTTTATGTCTTAAACAATGTGTGTGCTTCATCCAGTGCTTGCAGGTATCTTATATGTATTATAACATGTCGATTAACAATCAATTTATTAGCTATGTAGATCTGTATAATCACATGCAAAAGACACAATATTTGGAACGTTATTCAGCTTACCTAGGCTCTGACTGATAGCACAAATGTCTCATCCTCGAGCAGACAGCGCTGAGCCACATAGTGTTCGTTCGGCTCCCAGAAGTCGGCCATGTCATCATCGGCCAATGGCTCGCTGGCAGCTTCATTGCCAGCAGCATCTTCTGGCAATTGGAATTCGCGCTTGTTATGTGACTCGCTTGTGGACTGTCGACGCCAAAGCAAAGCTTCACCAACGGCTGGACAGCTGCCGGTTTCGTAGAGATTATACAGCTTTATGAAATGCAGACCGCTGGCCACACGCTGCACATCGTCTCGTTGAACTAGCGCACTCCAGTTGAGCGCTATGGTGGCATGTGGCTCATAGCTAGCAATGCTGGCATTGAACTCCTCCGTACTTATGTTTGTGTTGAAGTAAACGGTTTCCTCGTTGGCCAGAAAGCTGTGCGGTTCCTGTAGTTGAGGCGCATGTTGCTCCAATTGCTGCGCATGCTGTGCTGGCATAATATCTATGCGTGACAAGCGTGTTTGAAACAGGGTTTGGAGTGTCGGCATATCTTGTAGTTCATCCATCTCTTTTCCCTGCAGTCGACACTGAAAGCTGAAACATTTGACCGATTTGAGGCAATGGGCACCAGCTTGGCCAGCGCACAATTCCATGTTGTTCATAACTGCAGGAAATTTAAACGAATAGCATTATTTCGAAATTTGTAGCCTCTTGGTTTCAAGTTGACTTACTATATAAATTTCGTGGCTTCAACGAATACTCCCTGGAGTACAAGGACAAAGAATTAATATACACTTCCGTTGAATGTGCCGCATGCACATTTCTTAGGCTAACATCTAGACCCAGTTCGCGGGTCACGGCATTACTGATCACACAAGTGGCTTCCGCCTGCAGGCAACTCTGCACCTGCACTTGCCAAATATGTCGAACCAGGCGATATTTTATGTGTGCATTCGCAGCAGCTGGGAGTGCATAGTAAAAGAGAAGGCGTAGGGTAAAGGCGCCAGCGGTATGCGGTGCCTGCAGCCACATGGATATTGTGTGTCCCTGTTGTGCATCCAGTGCAGCCTGCCCAGGGCGCTGCAGCAATCGGAAAACGTGCTGACGTCGTATTTCCTTATCCTTGACCAGCTTTTCATTCGAGAGGTTTCGCAGTGCTGTAAAAAAGCAGCATGAAAAGGTTTAGTACGCTCACATGGTTAACTTAAAGATCATTCACTTACAGCTCAGTATAGTTAGTGGCATTTCAGTATTCTGTTGGTCGAGTAGGGTCAGCCAACGCGGATTATCGCAGCCCAAGTATATTTCCTCGATTGGCGATATACCCAAATTACGCAGCGTTATCGAAACGGGAACAATTTCACCAGCCAGCAACTCGCTGGGAACTGGACTAAAGCTGACGCTCAGGGAAGGCACCTGCGGCACTAGCTTAATGCTCAGCCTGTTGTCCAGCAGGGTCTGGGAGGATTGTTTGGCCATCGAAGGCTTAATGCGTTGTGTCTCAAACTGCAAAAGACCCATCAAACTGGCTGTTGGTTCCGCCTTGGCAGCGACGCGACAGACCACGCCCAGTATGGATAATCGACCGGTAAGCTTGGGTGTTAGCTTGAAGTGCAGTAGTTGATTTGCCTGTTCCGCCAGCTCTAAGGCTGACAGACAGCTGGTTTTGATGGCCGCACTTACAGCCGCTTTGCTGGCACTGTCCGACGATTGCTCGTATACGCAGAGATTGGAGAGTACCTCCTCATTGTCCAGCGTGAGCCGCCAGAGCAGATCAATGTCTGACAACGTAATAGGACAGCGAACACTGTTGGACAACGTCACGGCCAACTCAATGGGCTCTCCCTGCACGGCCAGCGGACATTCCGTGGCCGGCTGTTGCTTCGTGTATAAATAACGCGAAGGCTTAAATACAAACGGCTTATTGGATGCGGCTGTGATGACCAGCATTTCCTCAATCTTGTGCCAAATTGATTCGTCAGCGGTCAAATTCGAGTTTATATCTATGTTGCTGGCTGGCACTTGTGGCGGCTGCAAGCTGGGCGGCTGCACAAGTGTCAGCACGCGTACCGATGACTGGACAACTTGAGGCAAAGCGTGTGGCAAGAGACCAAGCTCCGGACTGCGCTTGAGTAACTCCTGGAATATATTAAACAGAGTAAATTAACGAATAAGCAATGGAGGAAAAATAATTACATTTTGCGTTTGTATGTACTCCTTTAGAAAGCTACTCTGCTGCTGGGCACTCTGCAGGCTGCCTGGACGCAACAGATGGGCAAAAGAGCGACTCGCCTCCTCCAGCTGCTTCAGCATATACGCCTGCTTAGCCACCGTGTATTGAATGTGATCCTCGGCTAGACTCCACTGGCGCTGCTGAAATACCTGATAGGCCTGACGATAGCAGCGATAGGCGTGCTTTCGTTGCCCCGCCCGAGAATACCGATTGCCGGCGAGCACAATGTGAAATGCATACTTGCGATGCATGGGCGGCTGTGTAACCAGAAAACAATATGCTGCCTGCTCGAGCAGCAGCGCAGAACGCAGATCCGATTCCTCGCTGGTCATGCGTATCAGCTGCTTGGCCACCTCACCGTACTGGCGCGCCGTCTTTAAGCATTCCATGCTCAGCAGCGTGGCACGTGTGGCAAATTGCTGAAGCCTGTGATAAATGAAAAGAAGTAGATTTTGTTGAAGTAACTTGTAAGTTAGATTACTTACTTGCACACAGTCAAATAGCATACGATGGCATCCTCCATGTAGTCGTAAGTCTTGCGATGCGCTGTTCCCAGCATAAAGGCTGACAGTGCAGCCATTTCTAAAGCACCCGCATAGTATTGCCAGGCGGAGTCCGCATTAAAGTCCCGCTTGGCCTGGTGATACGACTGAAAGGCCAGATTATAGTGTCCAAACATAAAGTATAGATCGCCCAGTTTGCGCGTTTGCAGCTCCGCGGATTCATTCGTATAGCTGTGAATTGTGTAAAGGCAGTTTTTAGTTTAATATGTGCATCCTCCTAACATCACGCTAGCCGATTCTTTCTAGTCATTGTACATTAATTGCGACTTACATGACAGCA